CCCCAAAACCCCAAAACCCCAAAACCCCAAAACCCCTAGTTAGACGTAATTCCTTGAAATGGCTTATTCAATTAAATGCTTTGGGATGAGGGTTGTCTTCAACTTCTTGTCATAATTCCTCTTCCTTGATGGAAAAGTAAATGAATCTGTTGAAGATATAGAAGAACTTGAGTGGACTGATAGCCTAGGGTTCATGGGATACTGGCCAGGGTGGCTAGCCTCCCTGACTTTTTCGAGGTGTTTTAGTAGGTCAAGGTTTGAAGTAGGCGATCTTTGTCCAAAATCATGGATTCTGGATCGGGATTGAGGAAGCCCCATTTGGAATTTTGGAATAGAAAGGGTATTTTGAGGGACTTCTCCAGTTATTGATGAGGTCTCAGAGCAGTTGATTCTGGTTTGAGAGTCTTCAGTGTTTTCGCAGAAGTTCGATTTTGAATGCCGGAAGATACTTTTGCTAGATTTTTCAGAATCAATGAAACGACTTGACTTGTTTCTTCGTATCTTCTCAGGTTTCTTTCATTGTGAGTTATTTTTCTTCTTTACATAACTCATATTGAAATTCTCAGCATTGAAAGAGTTTAGATTCAGGTACCCTGTTTTGGCAGATTTCACTAGCTCTTCCTCACTTATACCTAGTACTTCGAGGTATCCCCTTATTGTCTTAAGTTCTTTGAACATGGCTATAGACTCTTGATCTTTCTGGTCAAGTTGGGTCTCATAATATCTAATTTTCATGTGAAGATCATATGGGTTAAGATTGATAAGGTCTCCTTCAGCTTCCATTTTGTATAATTTCTTGCTCATATCTTTGATGAGGTCCAAGTCTTTATTTATGAGTTTTCTCAAGACTTTTATGTCTTGACTGAAGGTTTTGATTATCTTTCCTAAGTTGGTTATGAACATCTGCAAGTTTGTCGTATTCTTTCTCTAATTTATCCAATTTCTTCTTCAGCCATTTAATTTTCTTATTTATCATCGTGACGCTTAGCTTTAGTCTTTTCAATGATCTTGCCTAAGTCTGAGATTGAGTGGTCCTTGGTTTGGGAGATCAAGGAGGTTTGCTGTAAAGCATAGCTTAAGGACTCTTGTAATTCTTCGATCTGATTGGTGAAGGATTTCTTCATTTTGTTCATACTTATCTCCATATCCTTTATACTTTTCAATTTATGTGTGAAATGTTTCAACGAATGTTGGATTTCAGAATCTATGGAGTGTTATTTAAAGGAAAATCCCAGCCATACCTTTAGAGCTATTTATTTTGGGATTAATTTGGAGCAGCATGCTTTGTACAGTCTCTTTCTGTCTTAACATTAGGAGTTCCTCTTCAAGTCTTCATTTCTCATCAACTAGCTTTTTATTTAACTTCTTAAGCTGGGAGATTTCTTTTTGTGCTCAGCTTTTATTTAACTCAGTAATTGCAAATTTATCTGAGTCTTTAGAATTTTTTAAAACTCTTGCCTTCTGAAATCCAGGGGAGATTGTTGCCTTATGTTTAACCTATAACAAAATCTGGGTTAAACATTTGCTAAATCACCAAAATGTGCAGAAATAATTCTTACAGATACGATTGGAAGTTCAGGAATCATAGCGCTATTGAAGTCTCCTGAGAACATTATCTGAGGTCTTTTGACCTTCTATATAAAAATAATCACCTCTGTGGACTCTAAATTAGGAGGCTAGCCAGCATTGGCCATCAAAATTTACTATTTACAGGTGTTTTAGGAGATTTGTGATATATTTACTCTTAAAATTATTGGTTGTTTATTTGAATAAGAAGATGCAATTAGGGGTAGTAAATTGCCAGAGAGAAATGATATGAGCTTTAAAGCTCATTATAAGCAAGTTTAACACAATTGTATCAGCCTCATGTATTTGTAGTCTGATGCTGCTTTTACTGGCCTTAATTCCTATTATCCAAGGCCGGCCTCCCAAAGGAGTTAAAGTAAGGTAAACCAGTCCCAGCAGAAATTGGGCTCAGCCGTAAACCCAAGCTCAGGGAGTTACAAGAGTGAAGCATTTGGGCTGGATTTTTGGGAATTTGGAGAATATAGGGTATTTTTAAAGGAATTTAGGGGTTTACCTTTGAGAAATTAGGTGGGATTTTGGGGTGCTGAGATACTTCAGAAGGGGTTATAGTGGTAATTTTCTTGGTTGTCATTTTTTGAGGTCCGTTCGGAGTTTTGTCCTATTTATTCGCTTTTGATGATTGATAGGGGATATTTTAGATGCTTGTGGCTGAATGGTCAGTGATGTAGCCAGCAAATCATTCTGAAATAAGTTAGGAATTAGAGCTCTATACCAAAATTACAATAGTTCGTTTTCCTATACCCAATAACCATACATAAACTCCCTCAAAAGTTCTTACATCCTGTTCTCTTATATTCTGAAACATGGATCGATCTGCTGGTTGGCAACCATGCTTGGGTGATTGAGCCCCTGCTCTAGACTTTGTCAGGAACGAATAATGGTCTGATCTTAATTTGTGCAAAGGCTTTTTGCCTTTGGTGTTGAACGGTCTCGAACCTATGCGATAATTTTAAGGTTAGTAAGAAATTTGGGAATATAATACTTTCCCAATGCTAGCTTTTAAACCAATTCAGAACATAAAAGGGATCATATTCCAAAATATTTAATGCTCTTATAAAGTCTCCGAGCTGCCTCCCTTGACTAACAACTATTTACTGATCTCTTCTAATAATCACATACTCTTTTAGCCCAAAGAGATTCTATTTCTATTACATCAGCCTTCTCAGAATATACAACTCTCCAAAATGATCTAAATTCCTATCAACCCCCCTACTCTCTAAATTCCTCCAAATTCCACCCCTCAGAGTACTCTTCCTTCACTCAACCCCTAATCTCCTGACTCACCACAAAAAATCCTCCTCAACCCCTCTATACACCAAAAATACCTCTCTTTAACAATTTCACCCTAAATTTTAACAATTCCGGCTTCCCTTTCAGAAGAAAATTGAGTAAACTACATAACAAACACTGTAGAAAAGGAGGTACCTAGCGGAGAAGGGCTGAAGCGGTTTTGTTTGACCTGGCTCATCTTTGATTATAATATTTATTGAAATAATGTTTCCAATTTTTGTGAGGAGAGTGGGGTTTTGGGGTTTTGGGGTTTTGGGG